TCGCCAACTGATGTATGAACACTGAATATGAAAACCCATTCATGAAAAAATGTCATCTCGTCAACTGGATTTTTCCACTGAAAGGAAACAGTTGGCACGATTGTATATTTGCGTTTAAACGACAGAATATTCATGAATCCGAAATAGAAAAATTTGCAAATTGGAATTACCAGATGCTGCAACCATATATCATCGAGTGTTTTACTATGGATATGGTGGAAAATGGGACTTGTATTTAAGACTTTTCATTTCGAAACCCAAAATCGGGTGGCATCTACGAATACAAGGGAGGTGACGACCTGAGGAGATCTTTATGACATAATGATCTCCTGAGGACGCTAACTTGGTTAGCGAAACGCGCGTCGAGAGACCGTAATTTTTTGTTCTGGTGTTGGGAAAGTGTTTTCAATAGATTCATTTTACGCCAGAGGTTCCAGTACGAACTATCTATTTCTTTAACCAAAACTATGTTTAAATCATTTTCTATTTCTGCAGCTGGTTGGATCAGCCCCTAATTTTCCTTACGGAACCATGGATGATATATCAGCTATTTCCGAACTAGGATTGAAATATAATGTACCTGTTCATGTTGACTCTTGTTTAGGGGGATTTTTGACATGTTTCATGGAGGATGCTGGATATCCAATTCCCTTATGTGATTTTAGGTTACCAGGTGTGAGCAGTATATCTGCTGATACACATAAATATGGATTCACACCTAAAGGTACAAATTTCAAATTTATTGATTAATGAAACCTCTCGAAATGCATAGAACCTAAAACTCAGCAGCAACCTCTTTTTCTGTGAAATATTTGTCATATTGAATGATTTCAACTGATTTCCTGATCTTGATCACATTAAAAAAGTATTTTTTCTTTTGGGAAGAAAATCTTTTAGTTTACAGAAAGTGGGGAAAATCCGATCTGTAGATCATGCTCATAAGTTTTTTCTCATACAAACTGGAAAAAAACATTAATCAAAAACAACCAATTTCAATTATGCAGGTTCGATTAAATAAAAATCACTTTTTATCATTCGTTTTGAAATTCCAAAATTTATGGTGGAATTGAAACATCATCAGCAGGAACCGTACATGATGTCTGATAGACATCCTTTAGCACCGGTGTACACCGGTTTCCTTGCCGCTGCGGGCCAGTCTGAATTGGAACCACGAAAAGAAGTGTGGATACCAGTCTTTCTGAACAGAAGAGAAATTGTCGACTCGGATAAACCGACAATCAGCTGTAGCCGAACATGCTCTCAACAAAGAGAGCACTTACATTATTTCATTCGAAGATACAGTTATACTTAATAAAACTCAAAATAACTATCCAAGAGTATGTAGATAAACTCTAAAACACGGAGATAATTTCAATAGAAAAGAAGAGAGGAAGCAATGAACATCAATAAAGTCTGGCTACCTGTCCTTAGAGGTACACAAATAAGGTCGAAAAGTCCAATCGAGAGAAACCAAGCCACGCTCACTAATAGTAATATAAAACTAGAGTCAAATACTAGCATTGTAGTTACTGCGTTCGGAAAAACCGGAGCACCAACTCGGGCACTGCGATCGTTACCACATCGCCTTTGATAATGTCTACCGCATTAGTGGACGAAACGTCAGGCATAAAGACTTGCAGACCACGGCCAAAAAACTCGGAAAATAGCTTTCACACAGGTTCAAATATTGTTATTTTTGTATTTATTACTGAAAATTAGGATTTTTGAATATTCATGGTTTAATGAATATTTTTGGAAAAAGGTGGATTGGTTCATTAGATTTTCGATAAAAATAATTAGTGAAAGACAAAAATAAAACAAAGTGTTGAAATAATAGTGAGATCTTTATTTTATATATATTTTGTGTAGGCTCTTCTGTGATACTTTACAGAAATAAAAAATTTCGCCATCATCAGTATACAATCACAACTGATTGGCCTGGTGGTGTATATGGTTCACCAAGTGTTGGCGGCTCTAGACCAGGAGGAAGCATCGCAGTTTGTTGGGCAGCCCTTTTGAATTTTGGTAAAGAGGGGTACATCCAAGCCACCAGAGACATTATTCATACAACAAAATACATCGAAAAGGGGTATTCAATCTTTTTTTTCATTCTTATCATAAAAAAATATAGTTTGACTATATTATTGAGAGTTTCTTTTCTTGGGTATTAAACCTTTCATAATCTGAATAATAAACAAAGCTAAATTCATAAAGAATCCTATAAATTTAATAAGAGCAAACCGAAAGTTACTGCGTAATGTAAACCACTGAAGATTAAAATTATTCAATAATGTTTCGTATTTATACATTTTTGCCTATAAACTGAATAATCAATGGAAAAAATGCAATTTCCATACTTAGTTTTTTTAGATGGTCAATATTTTGGAAAACTATCCTTTTCAATTCTCAAAACCCAATACATTCACTTGTCAAGAACACCTCTATCCGAAATAAGTATATTTCCTTTGACAAACGTCAAATTAATGAAATATCCAGATGTTTTCCGAAAATTCAGATGAGGTTGATATTTTTGTTTTCAACATCTTGCCTTAGCACTGGTCACCAGGAACCATCCATTTCCACAGAATCAATCGAATTAAAGTCGTTACCTGATGAAAACATATACGCAGATTCTCTGATTCGAGAGGTTTCTTTTAGAATCTTTTGTATTTTAAAGTCTGCTGCTATCCCTGATTCTGTTATATGTCCTCTCTTTATATATTCACGATGTTCTTCTTTCTTACATCTAGAGGTCTTGTAGTTTCACTTATACAACTTTTTCCTCGGGAACACGGTAAATTAAAAAACTCTATTGGTTTTTTTATCGATTTTTGTTTTTTTTTGTATTAAAAAAGAAATTAATGTTGTGGGTAGTTCTGAAAGTTGTTTTTCATCTTATTTTTCAAATTGTAGAAGGTTAAACACACAAAAAAGCTTTTCAAAAAAATATTCTTAAACTATAAATTTTTTGAAGGGCATTAATCTATTCTTGGATGTTTCAGTATGAAAAAGATAATTTCAAGTTCCTCTGTGTACAGTTTTCAAATAAATTTTGTGATTACTTTCTTTTTTGTTTCAGTTTGAGAAGAATGAAAGGGATTTTCATCTTTGGTCAACCAGCTACAAGCGTAGTAGCAGTAGGTTCGAAAGATTTTGAAATTTATAGGCTAACAACAGCACTAAAAGAGAAAGGATGGAATTTAAATATTTTGCAATTTCCATCTGGGTGAGTACCGTTATCCAATGTATTGAAAATGTTATTTTGTTATACTGGGTTTATTTATAAGAACATAGGCTTTCATGGCCGGAGTCATGAGAAGATAACAAAATCTGGGCTGGTAGGTTATTAGTTGGCGACTTCACTTTCCAAAATCTAAAGACCATTCCATACTGAAACGTAGAACTGTAACCTCTCGCATTGCATAAATCAAAAACGAGCCCTACTACCAAACACCAGAACTGCAACAATCTTCTAAGACAAATGTTTCACTAACCAAGTTGGCGTCTTCAGGATATGAATTACTACACTACTTCCAAAACAAGCACTTTTCCCAATCATCAGAACTACTCTTCTCGATGCGCGTCTTCATCTCTTGAAGAAGCTAATTCTGTTAGTTAAACGCGCGTCGAGAAGAGTGTTGCAGTTCTGGTGATTGAGAAAAGTCTTATTTTCGATTTATTCTACGTCAGAGATTCCAGTTTTACCTTTCACTACACTACTGTTTAAAAAATCATTCTGCACGTTACCTTGAGTATCTCTTCATTTTCAATATCAAAACCTGTTTTATATACAAATACAGATGTTTATGTAAAAAAAAGAAATATTAAATATATTAGTCAGTTTAGTAGGTTGCATTACTGTGTTTCAGAACTGTTTATGATTATTGGAATTTTCTCAACAATTCTTCAGAATGATTGGTTGGCAACGTTGCATCCTCTCGCGGACGGGGCGTATACATTGTATTCATATGGGGCACTATACACTGGTTGAAATATAATGGTTCGAGACCATGTTTTGACCAATGTTTGGTGCCCCACACATTGGTCTGCGACACATTGAGAAGCTGGGCAACTTTGCGAACATAAATGTGACGACCTGTCTGCGGCCAGTCTTACTCAAATAAAAAATAGTTACCAATCAAAAAGAAACTGAAATACAATGGATTGTGATAGCGTGTCAAGAGGCAATTCTGTTCGCACATGATACAAGAATCTTCATTTCTAATGAAAATATAGAAAGTGACTTCATTAAAGCAAGTAAAAAAAAATTAGATGATACTCCCCGATGGCTGACAGAGAACAATTTTGTTCAGAAAGTAAAAAAAAACTGATTTATTTGAATTCGATACTTTCAAAAATGAATATGAACGAAATTTAACACTATTAGTGGGTAATAATGTCATAGAACGAGTTAGTTCAACAAAATTCTTAGGTTTGCATCTATCTGAAGACTTTACTTGGTACACCACCAATACTTGTAAAAAAGTAGCTTCGACCTGTCATTGTATTTACCAACTTTANCCAACTAATCTTAATGAATTGAAGTCTATGGAATGGTTTTGTTGCAAAATATGATGGGCGACTGCTGATTTTTCAGGTCTTCCATATTTTAAGTGTGTATCTTACTTTAATAGATCTTTTTGTCTGTCCATAATATTTTGCATCGCAGTCCTTACATTCGACTTTGTCTTTTGGACTTCCCAAAATGCTCTGTAGTGTATGACTTGTTTTAAAAACCACCTTGAAAATCTTTCCAAAGTTCTTCTTGGTATATTGAGGTGGAGTTCAAAAATACATAAAAGATATTGAACCTATGTAGTGCCCAACCGAAACTGGTTTTTACGACCGAAACCGAATTTCGGCAACGGTCTCAGTTTCGGCAGAAACCAACTTATAAGGATTGTGTTTCAAGGAAAAAAAAAGAAAACGTTATTACAATCAGCCAGTCTTTATTTTTTTATCTTTAAATCACAAAGTTATGAAGTCTTCGACATTTTTACTTTTTGATAGTCAACATATCAACATAACAACCCCTTATTTAAGAAAAAATATTAATTGCACCTTAAAAATANTAGAACTGTAACCTCTCGCATTGCATAAATCAAAAACGAGCCCTACTACCAAACACCAGAACTGCAACAATCTTCTAAGACAAATGTTTCACTAACCAAGTTGGCGTCTTCAGGATATGAATTACTACACTACTTCCAAAACAAGCACTTATCCCAATCATCAGAACCACTCTTCTCGATGCGCGTCTTCATTACTTGAAGAAGCTAATTCTGTTAGTTAAACGCGCGTCGAGAAGAGTGTTGCAGTTCTGGTGATTGAGAAAAGTCTTATTTTCGATTTATTCTACGTCAGAGATTCCAGTTTTACCTTTCACTACACTACTATTTAAAAAATTATTCTGCACGTTACCTTGAGTATCTCTTCATTTTCAATATCAAAACCTGTTTTATATACAAACACAGATGTTTATGTAAAAAAAGGAAATATATTAGTTAGTTTAGTAGGTTGCATTACTGTGTTTCAGAACTGTTTATGATTATTGGAATTTTCTCAACAATTCTTCAGAATGATTGGTTGGCAACGTTGCATCCTCTCGCGGACGGGGCGTATACATTGTATTCATATGGGGCACTATACACTGGTTGAAATATAATGGTTCGAGACCATGTTTTGACCAATGTTTGGTGCCCCACACATTGGTCTGCGACACATTGAGAAGCTGGGCAACTTTGCGAACATAAATGTGACGACCTGTCTGCGGCCAGTCTTACTCAAATAAAAAATAGTTACCAATCAAAAAGAAACTGAAATACAATGGATTGTGATAGCGTGTCAAGAGGCAATTCTGTTCGCACATGATACAACAATCTTCATTTTTAATGAAAATATAGAAAGTGACTTCATTAAAGCAAGTAAAAAAAAATATAGGTTGATAACGTTTAAGTTCTCGAAGAAAATATTTTGTTACTTCTTACCCCTGTTACAAACCCCTTGTTTCACTACTTAAATTTTATACCAAACACCCTTCTCATTAAAAAAACAATGCAAGAACTGCAATAATTAATGATTCTCAATGAATTTCACTAGTTCAGTTTTGTAATTTTATCTTGATTTCATGTTTGGTCAAAATTCGAAGGGAGGATTTCTATACATTTCGATGTTATTTAGTTTCCAGTTGTACCCAACATTTTCATAAAAAAATCAATAACTCGAGAACGGTTAAAGTTAGCTACATAGTACCTCATATAAAATCATATTATTTTTTCCTGACCTATACAAAAGTGTACCGAAATATAGGGTGTTCCGTTCCAAAAGTCACAACTTCGATATGTCACACTTTTTTGAGCCACTCTGTAGACTCTAAAATGATTTTATTCTGCAGCCTCAATCAATATACATATAATAAAATAGAGAAATTCTTGAAAATATCAATGGATTGGTTTACAGGGACCGTCTCGTATGGGGTGCCCCACCCTGTATATGTGTAGAATGTGATGCCATAGAATAAGGAGACCATAAAGCATTACATAGCACTACTATTTTGAATGCTTTCGAATGTTTGGAAATAGTTTAATGAACAGGATGGATCCTGGGCAAAATTCAGGGCTATTTTATTTAAATCAGGTTTAGGTATTACTTAACATATTCATTCATAGAACAGTCCTAGAACATTATTTCTATCATTCAGTGCAATGTAGATAAACTCTGGGCAATCAGAAATTGCCAAACTGGTTGATTTGTGCTTAAGGATACCATTCTGATTTGCTGGGAGGAGCTCAAAGTGTTCCAAGTACTTGGTCAATCTATTACAATAGGATGCTTCGAATAGTTTAGCGATTTGACTCTGTATGCATATAGCCCTATAGTAATGTATGTCACAAGCAGAGCCCTTACATTCTGATTTCTTAACATCTGTAAATTTTCCAGATGTGAAAGATTCAGTTAATAAATATGATATGATTTTTGCTACAATCGTACAGACATATTTGAGAATTTTCCCATCTATGCCAGCAGACTGTTTAGCTGTTGTCTTATTTGTAATGGAGATTACTTCTACGGGTGTCACTGGTGTTATAAAAAAATAGGAAGAGCTTTGGTGGAATCTGTTAATTTTTCTATCATAATTATTGGGTTTGTTGAAATTGTGAGATGAATCTATGAAAAAGTCATTGATTATCAACAATATTGACCGTATTTATCTGCTCAGTAGAATTTTCCTCTTTAATATTTTTCCAGCTCTCTCTCATGATATTAGGTGAATTGAAAAGTCTGTCATAATTTTTTTTGTTTTTTTTTAATGTTTTACTCGGCATTGATACTCTCTTTTAAACTGTTTATATGCTGCTATGTAGCTCTTGTCTTATGTTTGTTTTTTTAACCTTTCCATTTCAGTTGAACATGAATTTCCTTAATTTCAGGAGAATACTATTTTTTTGTGTTATTTTTCAATTTAGTTTTAGTGACTGGAAATGAAATGTCATAGTAGTAAATGAATGTTTTATAGAATATGGAAAACTTATCTTGAAAAGTGTTAGCTGATTATGTTTCATTCCAGTCTTCACTGGATACATGGTTGTTGAAATGTGCTAATATTAGAATCATTGAATACTCTTTTATATACAGACTCGGTTTTGATTTCCTCATTCACAGCAATATTAAGAGTACAGAGCTGATATGTATGATCGGATAGAAAAGAGTAACACTCGCACATGGCTTATTTCTGTATTCGAGAAGATATTGTCAATGCAAGTTGCAAAATGGCTAGTTATCCTTGTGGGTTCATTGATGTAATGTTTTATGTTATATCCTTGTAGCAGATTCATTAATAGCATTTTATTCACAGTGCATTCAAAAAAGTTGATATTTATGTCACTACAGATAATAAAAGTATCCTCGTTATATATTTCACAAAGTAATTGCTCTATCTTGTTAATGAAAGTACCAAATTCACTATCTGGAGTTCTGTATGTGCTAATAATATATATGAAATTATTTCTCTTTAAAGATTTGATTCATGTTAAACACATTTCAAAGCTCTTTTCTACACTACCTTTATAAGCTATTGATTCAAGGTTTACTTCATCGTTAGCAAATATACATACTCTTCCTCTTCGATATTGTGTCCTAGCAAAATATGAGATGAGTTTGTATTTTTTAATCACAGTTGTCTTCATTTCATCTTCTGTGAGCCAGTGTTCGTCAATACAAACGATTATCACATTCTGTGTTGTCAGTAGTATGTTAAGGTCATCATATTTTCCTGAAAGTCCCTGAATGTTGAATTGAACTATATTGAATGCATAATCACAATTCAGTGGTGATTGGGTGGATGATAAACTTTCTGCTGTATAAAGATTAAGATATATCTAACAGAATACCCATTTTGATATGTATTTATAAAAAAGACATTGGTTGGTTTGTCCGTGTCTCCTCTTTGAAAGTGTTGCTCTAGCTTGAAGTTGAATCTATTATATATTATATTCGTGGCCCAAAAGTCAGGTACGTAGACAAGTTCTTTTATATGTGAATCTACTCCAATCATAAAAAACTGGTTATCCTTCCGTATTTTTTTTGTTTCTAGTTTTTTGATGTTATGTCTTCTTTTCCTTCTTGTGACTACTTGGTAATTATGCTGGTTTTCTTTGTCATTTTTTGACATTATGACTTCGTTAATTTTTTGTTGTATTCTTTTTTGTTGTATTCAAATTTGTAGTATTTTTGGTGCAGTCTGACTCACTTTGAGAAATGAATCACCATGTGATTGGGAATTCTCCGTTTTTTGGCTGTTCATTAACTCTGATTCATTTATAAGGTTTTACTTGATATGTTTGGTTTTTTCAGCATCACTTTTTTCTGGTAGGTCTTTTGTGTGTGTTATTTGCCTGCCGTTTTTTTGTTCAGATGGAGTTTTGTGAGGATTATTGTAGCTATATTGTGACAATATATTTTCTAGGAATGCGATTTTGTCATTCAATAATGAGATTACTACCTCTTTGTGCTTTATAACTGTTTCCTTATCTTAGATTGCATCTGCCAGAAGTTTATTTTCTTCTTTGAGGAATATTTCCTCAGTGTAGACTAGATCACTTTGGCTTCTTTCTTTTACATGTTTGCAATATCCATTTTTAGACTCATTAGCCTGCCTGAGACATGCAAGATGAAAAGTTTCTTAACATTTGTACACAAACAATGCTTTGTTCACAACTTTTTTCTGACAGTTTACACATAAATTCACTATTTTCTTTAGAGTTTAATGACAGTGGACTTGCTTCTGCCGCTATCTTGACTATATTAAATAAAGCACTAGAGTTTGTTGAAATATAAAAAAAAGATATATCTGAATAATTTACCAGGAAAATTCTCAACTTTCGGTCCACCTTCAGAGGTGAAATAAAAAAGTTTACATGTATTGAAGAACTTGTTGATTTATTGATGTTAAAGAATCCATTTATGTCATGCAGCTTTCCTGCATCAATGTTATTTGTTGCAATACCGGTGCAGCTAGTGCTGAAAGATCACTTTCAAAACAAAAATTATGAAAATCTATTCAAGAAACTCCATGGAACAAAACAGGCTATGCAACTTGGCTATTCTATCTATTGAAAATTGTATGGCCCGATCTTTAAAGATCATTATTTTAAAGATGTTATTGATACTTTTGCGGAACAGAAAGTTCAAAGAAAAGAATGATATTAATAATATATCATGTTAACATTAAAACTATTCAATAAATTGATGGACATAGCCATTACTATGTGGTGGGAGATTATCATGATAAATAAAACTTTCTATGTTTTTTTAACACTTTTATAAAAATGGTAAAAAATATAGAGTTTTCTCATTTTTCATGATTGTTATTTTATTATAAATATGTAATACCTATGCTTTTGAAAATTTGATATTTAACTGAAATCGACACAATATTACTGTTGGGTAACTATCTCAGTAATTTGTTAAAATGAAATTACAATGTGACGATTTTTACTTGGACCCCATCCAATGAATTTACCACGGGCCTCAGTTACCACTGTTTATAATTAATCTTCATGTATAACTTATAAATGTCTCATATTATTATGGTCTATAAATATTCACGGATTGAACATACACTTGTGGTTATTCACGGAATTTGTATTTTTTTTTTATGGAACAATAATATTTTCATGTGATATTCCTTCTATAATAGGATATATTTTTTCCCAATACTTTATCACTTTTTTCTAAATAATACTATATTTTTCAGTCTCCACATATGTATTACTCACATGCACACTCAACCAGGGGTAGCAGATAAATTTTTAGAGGATGTGAAAAGTTCCCTGATAGAGCTCATGAAAACTCCCTCACAACCTGTGGAGGGCAAGGTAATAAATAATTTAGTTTATAAATTGAAACAAAACTAAAAAGTTGATTAGTGTTGCTTTTAAACTATGAATAATACCAATAACTTTTCTGAATTGAGTCTAATAGTAATAATAAGTGACACGTAGGTAGCATTTCACCTATTCAATTCAAAACTTCAGGCCAGTGACAGCTATGTTATTTGCTGTTGAATGATCGACTAATTCAGGTTTTCAGACTAACTAATTATATAGTGGTGGACCTCGACAATACCATCATTAGTGAATTCTCCTGTTTTCTCACAATATTTTCAAACGCTAGACTCTATGAGATTTAATATATCTATAAACAATATATTGAAGTTGTCTCATACCATAATTGTGAGGTAAATAAGGATTAAAGTAATAAAAATAATAAGAACTTGTTGTTGAACCCAACTTCGATCAGATATTTTCCAAGAGAATCATACTAGTTGAAATTCGGTTGATTCTGCTACATAATATACTGTTTCCTTACTCTTTCCTTGATTTAGAGCAAGAAAGTATAGTATTTGTGCCCAGTTGAAATAACTACCTCTTAATTTGTGGTGGCAAGGACGCAGATCAGTTCTTGATTTTTTTATAGTAATTCAATTTTAAGTGCTGAAAAGTGTTACCAAATTAAGAGCTCTTATTCGGACTGGGCACAAGAAAGCCTCGAGTTTCCGTGGTTGGTTTCTGAAAATAGGATTTCAATTGTTATTTCCCAAAATACTGTCACAGTTTGGCAGCTGTATTTTATCCTGTACTTCTAACGTATATAACTCTGGGTGGAATCAAGCGAGCCAAGTCAGTTCAACACTTCCCATGAAATTATCTATAGAAAGGAGACAAGTCCTCAAACTTTGTTTGATGTTCAAGGCTATTAGATTGCTTGTGATATACAGGTCTCCAATTAGGAGTATGACTCTTTTCTAGATATAATCTAGCAGCCTCAGGTTATTCATAGGGGCGGACCTATGCATAACCTCACAATATATGCAAACAATAATCCAAAGGTTAATCGGAGCATTAAAATTTGCTGGTGTGTACAAATTTCTAATGTAAATTAGCGTTCCTTGAAATGGGGAATGTTCCTCAATTTGGGTTATTACAGCAAATGCAAGTTTGAACAAAATAAAGTTGAGTTTAATTCATATGAGTTTTTCAAATTCACTTCGAAAAGTATTCAAATTGATGTTTCATTTATAATCAGATCAATAAATGATTGAAAATATGTTACCTTTTACTCATACTATCCTTTAATTAAATCATACCCATTGTAGAGAATTAAATTATAGCAAAAGACGATGAACATTTTGTTTATCAAAAATATTGATGATTTTGTAATTAATATTTGCACTTTCACAATAGATGTTTAATTTTGGCAATAGGTACTGTTGTCAAAAAAACCTCACATCTTAACAAAGCTTCCGATGAAAATATTAACTATCAAATTAATGATTTCAATATAATTGAGATGAGAGTATAAAGAACAAAGAGTAAACACAGAAGAATTTTGAACAGAATTAAACAGAAATAATTGTATAAAATTACTGGAGTGATACTCTAGGAACCTATGCGACCTATTTCAAGCGGAAATTTATGCTATTGAATTGTGTGCAGAGAGATTGGAAGAATCCAACCTCATACACAAGTCAATTAAAATATTCTCGGACAGTCAAGCGGCGTTGGAAGCTCTTGGCTCTTACCGAGCAACGTCTAAAGTGGTAGCAAATTACCAAAAACGACTCTCCTCGATATGAAGACTTTAACATATTGTCTCTGGTCTGGATTCCTGGCCATACTGGCCTGGACGGCAATGAGGCAGCTGACTCCCTCACAAAGGAAGGTGCTGCAAGCAGCGTCAGAACCTGTCACTGGTATCACTTTTGGCTTTACCAAACAAAGATTGAAAACCTAGATAGCAAGAAGATTTCTAGACTTCTGACAGAATCTTCCAGGATTGACTCACTCCAAGGCGTTTATTCACCCTTCGAAGCTTGATACCAAACAGTTGGACTACAGTAGGGATGAACTACGATGTCTAACAGGCCTTCTTACAGGTCACTGTCATTTGAATCATCATATGCAGAGACTCGGACTGTCGGAAAACAATGTGTGTCACCTTTGTTTGGAAACTCTTGATAATAGCAACTATGCAGCCCAAGCAATAGTTGATAGTTTTTCATTTCAAAATCTTTTTCAATTGAATGATAAACATAACTGTTACGGTGTAATGCTAGATCTGAATTTTGCAAAGGAATCACACAACTGTACCGTAGACTTATGTAATGACTGCTTGTTGTCATGCGATGCTCATCGCCCAGCATTAACAATGACTATCAATAGTGAATAGTCATAAGAAATTCGAGTATGAATATTTCTACTTTGATTTTAAGAAAGCCGATTATTTTGGATTGAATTACTATTTAGCTGGTATTGATTGGGAATATCGTTTGAGAAATATAACGGATATAAATGCGGCTACAAACATTTTTTATAATTTTTGGTATGAGGTTATATATAACTTTGTACCTCATGTAAGGCATACTAAGTCAAAATTTCCCCGGCAATGATATGAAGAAACTCATTATTGAAAAGAAAAGAGCTCATAAAGCCTATAAACTTAGTAAATCTTGGGATGACTACCAAATATTTTCAGATTTCATAGCCCGATGCAAACTGGCGTCAAAAATTTGCAATGAAGATTATTTTAGAAGAAATGAAAATAACTTGACATCAAACATGAAACACTTTTGGAATTTTGTAAACAACAAACGGGAAAATTATGGCATTCCTGATACAGTGTACTGCGGAGATATTATTTATAAGAATGGAAATGACATTGTTAATGCATTTGCAGACCAGTTTCAATCAGTTTATAGACCACATGAAGATAATGAAATACCAATATTAAGTTATGAAAAAACAATTGATATCAATAGTTGTAGTTTCCTTAGAAATTATCCTACAAAAATTATCGGAATTACATCCATACAAGGTTCCAGGACCACTTAGTTTGGGAAAATTCCCCCTCATTTGTAAATCAAGTTATATAACGCCAATTTTCAAGTCTGGTAACAAAGCTGACATAAATAATTTTAGACCGATCAGCATATTAAGTACAATACCGAAACTACTTGAACACATCGTTTGTGATAATATAAAGATTCCTTTAAAACAAGTGATTATCAATGAACAGCACGGATTCAATGAAGGTAAATCTACCAACACTGATCTACTGTTGTACACCCAGTATATTTTGAATGCTCTGGAAAATAAATAACAAGTGGACGTAATTTACACCGATTTTTCAAAAGCATTTGTCATCGTGAACCATAAAGTTCTTTGTGAAAATTTAAAGGCAATTGACTTTTTTGGGAGTTTGTTGGACTGATCCTCAAGTTATCTTTGTGATAGATCACAGTTTGTGAAAATTAAAGGATTTATCTATCACGAGATATCTGTTACGTCAGGAGTACCTTAAGGGAGTCACTTGGGACCTTTTCTCTTCACTGTGAAATACTGATGTTTGCAGACGATCTAAACATTTTTTTAGAGCAATAGATTTGTTGCAGGATTGTGCGAAAATTGAAATGGACCTTAAATCTTTTTCCGATTGGTGTAAGATGAATTATATGGATGTCAATGTGGCAAAAAGGAAAAGTGTTTCCTTTTCGAAGTCATTAAACCTTTATACAGCTAGTTAAAGTACTGCAGGGAAGAAGTTGGAACGTGTACAGTCTATACGAGATCTGAGTGTTATGATGGATGACAAGATGGACTTTCATTTACAGTATGAACACATATCTAACAAAGCGATGAAAATGTTAGAATTCATATGCAGATCAACTAAAGATTTTACCAACATTTTTTCTATTAAAATACATTGCATTGGTTAGATCAGTGATTGAGTATTGCACTTATATCTGGTCTCCAACTTACTTCAACCACAGTTAGGTATATATAATGTTCAAAAATTATTGTCACTTTTTTATAATCTCGGACCAAGGTAACTTTGTTATTTCAAACAGGATACCCTGTATTTTTCTGGCCTAAAGAATATAAAATTCAATTACCTTTCATTTCATTTTTGGTTCCCTATACCTAACCAAAATAGTTTTTCAGATATTAGCCTTTTTCAAATCGTAGTTCTTATTTCAATGTACCTTTAAATCAAGATAGCTTTGAAACAACATTTATTTGATTTGCTCACTGATTTCTCATTGACAGTTGTTTTCACTTTATCGAAAATATTTACTGATCACTATCATTTAAATCCATACTCAGACAGTAGTTCATTGAATAGACTAAACATTTTCTTATCATTCAACCCAAACAACAATGAAATATGAAACACAAATGTATTCAATTCAAAGTAGGTACTCAAAATGACGACCATCCTGTTGAATACAAAGATCCACTCTCTCTATAAAGACTGCTTAATGTTTAGTAACATTTGAGGCGTCACTCTTCGAAAAGTAGCCTTTATTATCTCCTTCATATTTTCCAGTGTGGTTGGAGGAGTTTCGTAAACCTCATTCAAGTCTAACAATTAATTTGAAATATGCCGGAGCTCCATCCAATTGTAACCACATCCGTTGTCTGATATTTAGCGGTACATTTTCCAGAAGCTCCGGCAGATCATCTCGTGAAAATTGTAAAAATGTTTGACCATTCAAGTTTTCACCAAAAAAGTATGGTACTATAAATTGTGTACCTATAATTCCTCCCCAAACGTTAACAAACCATCTATTCTGGTGATCCAGAATGCGGAAAAATGAGGATTCACATCATTATAATAAGTTGTGTCCGTTCACTAAGCCATTGTTATGGAAAGTAGATTCATCAGAAAATAAAATAGAATCCAAAAAATGTTCATCCTCACTAAACTTGTCCAGAACCCATAGACAAAACAGGAATTCATCGATGGAAGTCAATTTCATATTATTCCTGGTGCATCTGAATACTGTACAGGTGAAATTTGAATTTTTACATTACCCTAGAAATACTCCGTCTGCTCATCCCTGTATCTTTGGGGGTTTTCTATGATTGATTCCATGATGAGAAATCCATATTCCTCATTTCCAATGATAGGTTTTGGTCTATTTGCCTTTTCATAAGCTACACTTTCAGTCCTACAAAATTCATATAGCAATCGTTTGAAAACCAACTTGTTTGGATGATTGCCGTCTGGATATTTTTGGGTATACACCCTCAACGCCAAAAGGCAATTCTCTCAACACTCACCAATCGCTAAAACCATATATATCTTGAATCGGATAAGTTTTCATTTTGAACGATAATAATTCAGTAAATGCTTTGAATAACGTTGAACACAACAACTGTCAATGAGAATTATTTTAACAAGTTGAATAAATGTCGATTCAAAACTATCTTGATTTAAAGAATGTATTAAAATAATAATTATTTGAGAAAGCAAATATCTGAAAAACTATTTGTTAGGTATAGGGAACCTCAAAATCAAATGACCAAAAAAATTCAGACCAAAAAAATACAGGGTGTTCTATTTGAAATAACAAAGTTATTTTTGTCCGAGATTATAAAAAAGTGTATAATATTGAGAAACGGGTTTTAACAAAATCAATAGCCCAAAACCTCGAAGGGATGATTTCTTTGCATTTCCATTTTATTTAGTTTCCAACTAGCATTTTCATAAAAAATCAATAACTCGAGAATGGTTATAGTTAGGTTCATAGTACCTTTTATGCAATCATATTGTTTTTCCCTGACCGATTCAAAAGTATACCAAAATACAGGGCGTTTCCTTTGAAACACAACTTTTATATGTCCACCCTGTCAACCCCAAAATAATTTTCTTTGCATTCTTAATCAATATACATATAATGAAATGAAGAAATTCCTGAAAAAATTAATGATTTGGTTTACAGGGACCGTGTCGTATGGGGTGCCCCAAGTATTACAAAAAGGTTTTTTGAAATCATGATGTATTCTTTACGTTTCAAGTGATCCAATAAAAAAAATATAGTGGTGTAGATATGGCAACCTGACAAGAATTATAATTTGCTTCCGGTCTTCCTATAAAGAGACCTCCCAGTAATGAATAGGCTCGTCTATTTAATGAATTACATCCAAAAAGTTACTGTATATCGGTGATATACAGTGAGGACCTAATTAGTCCTTCCCTCTTAACTTTCGAACAAGATAGGATATTAAGATCAGACATTTATGTAATTTACTACTTTTTGTTAAGACAATACTGTTACCTCACTCGTCGCCAAAAGGGTGCTACAAACCTGTTTTTCTCAAATGGAAAGGGGAGCATTGTGATACTTCATTTGATTGGCAAATCAATTCCCTATCCAACATAAAAAAATGGATTAAAAATTAACTGTAATTTATTGCAATAAATGTTTCAAATGTTTACCATATATTTCCTGGCTAAAATGAAGTATATTTACAAATTATATTTATGCATTGTGAAATATTCCTGGGGTAATTTCATTTCAAACACCGGTTTTACTATCTACGAGTTCTGAAATGGACTGCGGTTGCATATCGTATACAGGTCATGTATCTTCTTAACATTAAGGGTGTCATATCAAGAGATCTAGCGGGCCTTTCAAAGGGAACACGTTTCAAAGTCTAATTGTTTGGATAATTGTCATCTAGACACTTTCAAACCAGCTCATCCTGCTGAAACATCAGTTGAAAACTCATTTGGATTTGTCAAATATCCAAACTGATTGATAAGCAGATGTGGTCCCTTAAAATGAGCCACTAGATCAACAGTTAAGAGGCCTCTAAATGTTTTGAGAGGATATGTGACATCTGTAGTATGCAATATACAACAATATAGTTCATTATAGAACTCGTGGATAAAAAAACATTTGGTTGCACTATCTATGATAATAATTAAACAATTTTCACAAACATTTTTTATTTCTCGTGTTTCGCTAACACCGAAGCTTCTTCACTAGAAATGAATATTACACACTGGGCTACACCTCTTATATACAACAGTAGCAGGTAAATTTCAATAGATTCCAAACCAAGTTACTTCACGACGTTTCGATTGTTAGTATCCACAATCGTCTTCGGGAGATGACTGGACTAATTTCTCGGAGAGATGGCTATTTATAAGTCATTCGAGTACTTTCACTCATCTCCTCTTTCCGCTTCAACAGTTTAGCGGAAGATGACCGTTTGGCGGGAGTTTCTTGTACTCGCATTGCCTAACACAAGAAACACAGCAAATCAGGAATAGCAGAGCATGTTTGGACCCATCAACATAACATCATGTGGTCCCATACGCAGGAAGGAACACTGGTTTAGGAGGAAATTCAAAGAAGCCACATACATGTTGTCCACCAATGTATTCAACCAAGCTAGCGTAGAGATACGCAATATATGGAAACCCATAATCAAGTGAAAAATGGCCAACTCCCGCCAAACGGTCATCTCCCGCTAAATCGGTGAAGCGGAAAGACGATATACGTGAAAGTACTCGAATGATCCATAAATACTTGCTTTGGAATGTCTTAATTTTTTATTTAATTGTTCTATTTTTTAATTGTAATATTAAGATCAGACATTTATGTAATTTACTACTTTTTGTTAAGACAATACTGTTACCTCACTCGTCGCCAAAAGGGTGCTACAAACCTGTTTTTATCTTCCTCTTGAAGATGATCACTTGGTGATCGAAACACGTGTCGAGGTGTAAAAATAACGATTTGGTATTGGGAAAAAACTCTAGTAATATTCACCAAAATTAAATTAACCAAAATTAACAACAAACACGATTTCACAATTTACCATAAACCAACCCATACAGACACAACTATAAACTACCTATCTAATCACCCACAGCAACATAAATTAGCAACTTACCACAGTATGATCCACAGACTCATTAATATACCAACGTCCACAAAGAATTTTATTGAGGAATTGAATCTGACAAAAACAAATTGCAATGAATAACAACTGCAACCTTAATGTAATTAATCATATCCATGATACATTTTTTTTCAAACAAGCTGTTAACCAAGTATACCCTCACATAAAATATAATACCTTTAAGACACTCACATATACCGTAAAACACCAGATAAAATGAAAACTAATTGACCAAAATATCAACTTCTTGGATAGACAAGAAGTCAAGTATAGACAAAGATAAAAGATCAGGTGTCTACAAACTAACATGCAAATCATGCCCAAAAGTGTAAGTAGGAAAGACTTTCAAGAAATTTTGAAATGAGAATCTCCGAACATAAAAGAAGTTTTGAACTGAGAAAAATATTAATTCCACCTATGGGTGCCACCTTTTGGAGAATGATCACGATTTCAATACTAGGCACGACATACTCCAAGTAGAGGGTAAGGAACAGAAGTTGAACCTGTTGCTCTGGAAATTAATATGGGTGAGAGTTTGAGTTCCCTGTTGAACAACCAACATGGTGTTGACCATTCAACATTGTTGAACCTTTTTTCATAATGCCAATCATTTTATTCATAATTAAAAAATAAACCTGCTGTCCAAGAACTGAGATTGTAATTGTTGTACAAATTCTATCTGTTATCTCATTTACTATTAACCAATTAAGTTAGGTACCTACTACTGTTGTACATAGGAATTGTAGCCCAGTGTGTAATATTCAATTCTACTGAGGAAACTACAGTATTAGCAAATCACATATAGAAATGAAAAATGATTGTGAAAATTGTTGAATTATTATCATGAAGAATGTTATTAATTTTTATCAAGTAACGGGTCAATCCATCCATAATTTTCATTTCGGATCACATTAATTTGTTTTCTTTACAAATTAGCATCTTTGTAACCGTTTGTTCTCAATATGTTTCTAAACACTCCAGGATGATATCTTTCCATGGTCTTTAATTATAACACCATGTTTCTTGATACCGTCTCTTACATTATCACAAAGCTTCAAAATATTGCTATTTTTTTCACTTAAACCAATAGTTCGAACATCTTGTCTGAAATTGTTCAGAATGTCTAGCACTTCCGTGAAATGTTCTGACATAGTACTTTTCATATCAAAGTTTAATCCAAATAAATTTAAGATATTCAATAAGTAATTTTTTACGGCACACACCGACGTTAAACTATAAGAAATATCCGATGATGCTGTGGTGTGCATCATGGCATTTGTAACTGAAACTAATTCATTCAATATTTTGATGACAGAAGGAGTATCAAAATTATCGCACAATGCAATATGTACTTTAGCCACAGATTGACATAATAGTTCATTTAATATATCACTGTTCACTGTGCCTTTCAAATAACCTTTCTCATATGCATCACATGAGACGAAGAAGTTTTTGTATGTGTTGTAAATATTTTCAGCTGTAATTAGTAATTCAGAACTATACTCCATATGGTTTTGATAGGGTGACATGATGCAAGCCATTCTAAATATGTCAGCAGAAGTTTTTTTCAGCATATCCCGAATCAATATTGTATTCCCTAGAGATTTGGACATTTTCTCGGAAGGGCAAACATTGAGGTGACCAGTGTGCAACCAGTAGTTTACCCACTGACAAGTTTTATGAAGTGCGCAAGATTGTGCCTCCTCATTTTCATGATGAGGAAATCTCAAATCAATTCCTCCAGCATGAAAATCAATACTTTTACCTGAAATAAAAATTACAAAATAAGATTTAGTCTTGAAAATATAAAACATCTATAGTTAGATATTAAAAAAAAAAACTTTATAAATAATTAGTGCGCATCAATTTAGTTTTCATGATAAAAAGAGCAAAAATGATGCAATCTTCAGTTTTCTAGAAATGACAAATATTAATAAATATCTGGCTGTAGTTTTTTGTAATGTATCAATTATAGAATAGTGCTGCAGAAGCTCCATCATTAGATTCAAAGGTATGGAATACAAATGGCTCTTACTAACAAGAGGAAGTCAATTTGTCAGAACATTGACAAACTTTTCTATATTAGAGTACCCCATCCATTTTCTTCATTACATAAATGATCTCATTTACATAATCATACAAAGGAAATTCAGAATATTCTCTGATGATACCACAATTCGGTAATTCTGTGGCATGAAAAAATATAAACAACCTTAAAGCAGTGTGATCTTAAGACACTCAAACTGTGGTGCAATGCCAATCTTTACTCTTTGTAAGTACTCACTTTCAAATGAACTCTACCAGAGCTGCTCTTAGTAGACACAACTTTTGAAGATTGTTTGGGGGTGCATATAGATGGGGCACTAAAATTTGAAACCTTAGAACCCTCCTGAGTAAATTTGCCTCAGGATGTTATGCTCTCAGGATGGTATCAAATGAACTACTGTTCCAATCTGTCCAATTTACCAAAATGTGCATCTATAGATGTACGTTTAATATACACAATAGCATTTTAGCAGTTGTTCAATGCTATTTTTATAATACAAAATTTATATTTACAAAGCAAAATTGATCTTCATTAAAAAAAATATTGAAATATTGACACACGTTAATATTTATTCTAGAAACAGCAAGTTTATACAAAATAAGTTCCAAACATACCGAGGGTAACAGAACATATGTTACATGACAAGCTGATTAGCTTAGAATGCCAAAACCAAATTCGACACTGATGAAAAATTCTGTGACTCACAACATTTTGAAAATTCAAATGTCAGAGTGGTTGAAAGTTATGACAATTAAAATATGTATAAAATACACCAATATTAACATATACAAATAAAACCTTTGAGGAACATTTGATTATCAATATTTCTCAATATTTGTGAAACAAAACAATGTTGAATTTTTTAATTATAACTCCTTCAAACTATAAAAATTATGTTTTATTGAAAGTTTCCTAGTTTCATATTTGAATATGGAACAACACCTAATTCTCTGCAGGAACTTCATGAAATGAAGTAATGCAATTGTAATAAGAACATTGTTTGTATGTTCATGTTTTAAATTGGATTTTCAGCTTAGGGCATCTTGTTTTATATTCATGTTTGTTAACCATTTGTGTATTGTGTATTTTTCCATGAAACTTTTCACAAAAGTTATGCATTTTGAATATTTAAACATTTTAGCATTAATATTTGTTTTTCTTTGAAAATATTACGTCAATTTTCACCATAATTGATGTTGAAAAGGAGTCAAATAATTCTGTCTCAGCTGTGGAAACTTTTTGGCAGACAGTTGCTTGACCCCAGGATACTATATTGTAGGATATGACTTAAAATCAAAACATAGTATAAATCTAGTAACCCTTTCTTGTCCAGGCTGAAGAATAGCAAAATAAGCTTTGTTCAATTTTGAACTAATATATGCAATAAAAGAATTAAATCTGAGGTCCAAGTATTATGTTACTAAGTTGCTTGACTTTTTTCTCAATATTTAGGGTAATACTAAAATTGGAATTTACTTTCATTGGTTTTCTCAAATGAAAGTTGATATAAACTATTTTTGCCTTGTTGATGCTGCCTTAACTTACTTGCTTTTCCTAAATCCATGCTAACAGGATATTGGTGAAATGATCTTTTTGTCAAAAATCATTAAAACAATGTACACAATTAGCTCCAAAAATGAAGATTACAATATTTTTTGACTATATGTGAGATGTTAATTTTTTTTTTTTTGGAAAGAGAGAATGATTACTTTTAAAAATTCTGGAAATATTTCTCTTTGTTAGAAAAGTAAGTTTATCCCTGATAATAATTATACAATTTTCGTACTATAAATTTAATTCAAGTTGTGTTTCACCAGTTGTACTGTAGTTCATCCCCAGTCCAACTGATGAAACTACCCTGTAGTGAAACAAGTCTTGAATTGAATTTATAGTGTGAAAATTATGTAGTTATTATGATGCATAGTGTTATTAATTTTCATCAAGTAACAGGTCATGAAATAGACAAGTATTGGGACAATCACCCACATCCAGGGCAGCTGCACACTGTTAGAAGTTATCGATTCATTTAAAATCACAGTACCAAAAGTAATCATTGTATTCTATTTTTAGATTTCAAAGAATTACCTAGAAAATGGGATGCGAGGGCTGAACACTCTATATGCCAGCCTGGCCTTCCTTTACCCCAAGGGCTATTCCAAAATGGTTCACCTTCCTTACTATTTTTCCACAAAGCAAAATCTAAGTTAGATTTTTTCACATTACTCTCTTGGTCTGTACTTGACAAGGAAATGTTGTGCAATTTCCCATAATGTTGGAACTTTTCTACACTGAAGTATACGGAATTATCACTTCCTTTATAAGCTTGGCCATTTTCTTCCAGTTTTTTTACGAAATCGATAATCAAACTGATGTGGTTAGTTACTCTAAGAACAATGTTGGGTTTGTTGATTCCAAGATCTTTTAGATCATCCCAAAATTCTTTTTCATATTTTTCTGCTATTTCCTTGTATGCGCATTTGGAATCGTTTGCTTTCTTGATGATTTTGTCATCGATATCCGTTATATTCATTACGGTTACAAGATTACAATTGAAATAGTTTTTCAATATGTTTTGTATAATATCTATTTTAACATAACAACTTGCATGTCCCATATGAGATGAATCGTAAACGGTAGGCCCGCATGTATACCATGTAACTAGTTGTTTATTTCTTATAATCACGGGTTCTTTTCTTTTTGTTACACAATTATAAACTTTTGCACCAATGTCCAAACCTTTCGGAATTATCCAACAATGTTTTGTTCGAGTGTTTTGAATAACATGATTCCCATATTTCAAAAATAGTTTTTTTAGTGAAACCATTTTATTTTTTCATATTATATAATTTCAAAATTGCCTCTCATCAAAAAATAAATCTTATTTCGAAAAACTGAGGTTAACATTAACATCAGCAAGTCAGTCAGTCAGTGTGATACCATAGCATACCTAACAATCAGCACGGACACTCCCTTGGACGGGAAAAGTACGCGCATATACTTCGCGTCGCTATGTCGGTCATGTTGAAAAGCAATGGACCTGTCAAGTTTGATTTTGGTATTAAATTGTTGACATGACATTCAAAAAACAATTTACATTATACTTATTATACATTATACTTAAAGAATATATGATAGTTAATGTAACTTTCAAAAACCTATTATTTTGTTTGAATGAAACCTTCTTTATTAGATGTCATTTGCAAAAACAAATTTGTCTGGGTTACTAGATTACATACAGATTTCCAAGGTTGAATGAATATAGGTATTTAAGAATTACACTATACTTTTCTGTACAGTACATACATACATGATGTGTAATCTTATAATTTTCAGCGATTCATTTTTAATTCTTCTTTTTTAGTTGTTTCGGGGATTTCAAATCATTTTATATAGTAGACAGTGGAAGCCCAAACTAGTGAAATTTGTTCAAGTAAAAGTTATTTCTATGTAATACAAACCTTTAGGAGTAGTTGTTTTAGAATAAACCCCCGTTCCTTTTTGTGAACAAATTACTTATTTGTGAAAGATACTATAGATACAGATACATACATGCATGCATGTATGTATGTATGTTTGTGTGTAGGTACCACTAATACATTTTTTACAATCAACTGCATTTTCTTTTGAGAGTTTCAGTTACTAACGTTAGTGAGTCGTTTGCTTTCTTTTAATCTGATCGATCAATTTTTCTATTCAAGCGAGTTCATACATAATTTCAAACTGAATTTGATCATATTTGGAATTTCGACGACTCCAAATACAAGTTCAAGAACAAATTCAAACAATATTTGATAGAGAAAACATTTTATTGCGTTTCTGATTTTTATGATTGATTTTTTTTTCAATTTCTACCCTGTTCCACACTATGAATTATTATGGAACAAAACTGTTATTATTGATAGAAGTGGTGCAGAATTTTGTAACAATTGGATGGTGATATTCAACAAATGAGATATGCTGATAAAAATAAGATAAACCCTAGTTGAGGATCATACCAGACTATAATCGCCACTTAATGAAACCTTTTAATTACACCTCAATTTCCCATACACCATACTTGTACTCGATGCACGTTTCAGTAACCAAATTAGCATCTTATTAATTGATGTTTAATATCAATTTCACTTCTGAAGATGCTAACTTGGATAGTGAAAACGTACAACAAGTACAAAAATGTTCGGAGTTCAAGAAATTGGGCTCCATTCGAATGTTTCTTCTTTAACACCAAAGGTTTCAGTCACATCTACGGCTCTTAATGTAAGAATAGAGGAAAATTTCTGCATGGGTTGCAACAAACCAAACGAGATGATGTTTTCCGTAAAGTGATCCTCATATTTTATGCCAGTCAAATCTAATTCTGAAAACAGTTAGCTATCACTTCTTATATTATTTGAAAGAATTACAAATAGTATCGTATCATTATATTATTTATTATGGTGAATAAAATAGCAACAATTGAATGACGAACCTTATTATATTAGATGAAGTCATTTGAAAACAAGTTCAATTTCATGAATTATGACAAGATAAAATTTCCAGTACGCCTCTGTTATAGACACCATGTCGCAAATAATCTGGACCTGAGTCACAGAACACATGTAGTTAGGGTGTTCTGTGCCTGAGTAATCCACTTTTTAAGATGGCGTCTTCATACTTTTTGAGATCAGAGGCGGCATCGTGGAGTGTCCGTGCTGATTGTTAGGTATGTTGTGGTGATGCAGCATCTGGCAAAGAAATCATAGAATATGTTTAGAGGAAGTGAAAGGACTGAGAGGTGAGAGAGTAAGTGGTTTGTGGGTGAAAGGTGAGGCTTGCAAGCCTAAACGATAAAAATAACAGTGAGTTGATATTTTATAGATTTTCATGAGGGTAAATTTAATTTTTTTTCAATTACAATTCACAATCATAGATCATAGTAATTACGCGACTACTTCTTTATATTTTATGTCAAATATAACTGAAATTCTGCAGTCGCAGCAAGTACTTGATATTTCTAAGAATCCTGCAGAAGATCACAATTACTTTTAAATAGTTTTTGAATTTAAATTAGTGAAATTACATTATTCTTTTGTAAATCCTATTCGTAATAAATTTGTTAAGTAATAAAGTGCATTTTATTTCGACTGACACCTATAAAACACAGAGATCAGTGCTATAAAAGCTATTCAATTATCTAATTGCTTGAAGTTATTTCGAGTTCAATTGATTTGCTGGGTATGATAGAATTATAAATTAGTAAATTTTCACCACCATTGTGTAAGTATACATGCAATTCAAATTTCCCCCATCAAATTAATGTTCACTTGACGGGAGACATGCGCAGTGGAATGTGGAATGGCCTCAGAGTAACAAAAGACAATAGAGAGGCCTTTTCCATCCTAACATTGAAGGCAGCATAACTTTGTTTGTTTACGGGAAGTAAGTTGGACCATAAAACAGTGGCG